GCGCGCTCCGCTGCGTCACTCAGGATTTCCCTCCCTGCACGAGATTCGAATTTCAAGAGGCGCTCCTCACACAGACAGACGCGCCCCCCCCCCTTAGCACTGGAGGGAAAGGGGGGAGAGGGGAGAAGAGCAAGGGAGCCGCCCGCCCTGCGCCGCCACGGTCAGCCGCTCCGGCCCCCTATTATACGGGCGGAAGACTCTTTTACCTGCAGGAAAGTAGTTGGCCGGCCCGAGGCCCACCCGTAATTAGCAGAGCGCCAACAACAAAAAAACACATTAAAAAAAAAGGAAAACGAAAACAGAAACTGTGTCAAGGGAGCCAGAGTAGGAGAGGGTGGGAGGAGGAACAAACGGCCAGAGAGACAGAGAGAGCAGGAGAGAGTGTGAGAGAGAAAATTATGCAGTCAGCGCGTTGCCCTGAAAGCTCTGCAAATCTAACTGCAGAACTAAAAGAAGAGTTATATAGTTCAAACCGTCAAACAAGACCTACAGTTGCAACCTTTTATGGCAGTTTCGACCGTGCGACCGCGTGCGACTTTAGTTTGCAGGTTTGCACTGGTACGAGCAAAGCGACCCTGAAAACTTCAAAAGTCGGGTCTTGCCACGGAAAAAAAAACCTCAGCTGCCCTAGCTAAATGTTAGCTGTCCAGGCAGTAGCTAAATTTTAAGCTGTTGGAGCTTATTTTTTGCTGTGGTAGTCAAATATTAGCTGCAGGAACTAATGCTTCCGTATAACAGCTTATCCTGCGTGATCTGGTTTGGATGACGCAATTAGCTCTCTCAACTAATGCGTGGCTACCGCAGCAAATGTTTAGCTGTCAGAGCTGAAAAGGTTAATTAGTGCCTGGGCAGCCAACATATAAGCTATCACAGCTAATCATTAGCTTGTGGAACTTACGTTTTTTTTTTCCGTGCATGGAGAGCCTGGCTATAGGGTCAGATCTGATCTAGCTCTAGGGTCGGAACAAAGGGTCGTATGTGCCTTTTTGCGAATTTCCCATTGTAAAGGAATTTTCTCATGATTCTCAAATCTCGCAAAATCTTCAAAAATGCACACCCTTTGTCTGGAACCCGCCGGATGCATGAGAAATTTTGAGTTTATTGCATTCGTAATAAAGGAACTAGTAGGTATTTGACCTCTTTTTAAAGGTGTGACTTAACACATTTGTGTGTTTCCAGTGCTGCAGTACAATAACCTACCAACTTGTTTGTCACACACAGCTGGATTTACCCCGAGGGGGTTTCCTCCAATCAGTCCGCAACACACTGAGGAGTACTACATTTCTTTTTTTATCCTCCCCCCATCCGTTCAACTCTTTAAGCCCCGCCGCCACGCCAAAAGAGACGCGCGCCAGCAGCAGCGGAAGCATGCGGCCTGACACGGTGCCCATAATTGTCCGGGAGGTTCAAACAGCCCCGCTGGGGTGCGTTTCAGCCAATGGGGCCGGCGCTTCTAATACCAGCACACCATCATCAAGGGAGAGGAGTGGAGGGAAAGGGGGGAGAGGGGAGAGGAGGGGGAAGGGGGAAGGGGGCAAAACACAAATGCGTGCAGAGGCCATATCGCGCGGCGCTGATTGGCCGGGACACCGACAATGGCTCGGCGGGGACCTGCGGGGGACCTGCCGGGGACCTGCAGAGGAGCGTCCGGCGGCATAATTCGAACTACCTCGCCGCGCCTCATCCTCACCCTCTCCCTCCTTTTTTTGCAGGGATCCCGTGCTATGTGTCTCAATGCTCTTCAGCAGGGCCCGCCGTGTGGCGGTGTTACACATTAACAAACCAAACAAGCAAACAGACGAAAGTTTTCGTTTCGTGTTTTTCGTGCTTTTTTTGGAGACAAAAGATATCACGACCGGCGAAGAGCTTTTTCCCCACCGCCACCGCTGCCACAGCAGCAGCGCCCCCCATCTCCGCACGCCCGCAGGGGATGCTGAGGTCGTTTCCTCCGCCGCGCCGCCGCGCTGCACGTACCGACTGCATTGCTTTCCGAAGGCCGCGAGCGCGACATCATTTGAATCTTCCCACCGCCGCCGCCTCCGCTCCGCTTGCTGATAACGGGCGGACAACATACACACGCGCACGCTGCGCACGCACTCGCAAGGGGCGCGCCGGCTGAGAGCCATCCCAGGGGCGGGGCAGGGCAGGGCCGCTATCGCCGCGTCGGATCTAAAGCGGCCGCCCAAGTTACCTTATTATTCGCCGCTTACGACCTCCTTGCGCATATGGGCAGCCCGACGCGGGAGAAAGAGAGGGAGGGAAGGATGGCGGGAGGGAGGGAGGGAGGGAGGGAGGGGAAAGAGAGAGTGTGTGTGAGAGAGGGAAGGGGGGAGAGAGCACGGTCAAATAGGGCGGGGAAGAGGTTATGGAGGGCGCTATGAGGTGAGAACAGGGCCACCTTGGGGTGAGAGAGAGAGAGGATGAGAGAGAGAAAGAGGCGCAGAAGACGGCCAGGCACAGCGAGATAGAGAATGCAGGTCAGCAGGGGGACGTAAGTGAGTAGAGAATGCGGAGGGGTTGCATGCGATGAACGGGGGAACGGGGCTGCGGAGAGAGAGAGAGAGAGAGAGAGAGAGAGAGAGAGAGACGGAGAAGACGGCCAGACACAGCGAGATAGAGAATGCAGGTCAGCAGGGGGACGTAAGTGAGTAGAGAATGCGGAGGGGTTGCATGCGATGGGGACAGTAATGAACGGGGGAACGGGGCTGCGGAGAGAGAGAGAGAGAGAGAGAGAGAGAGAGAGAGAGAGAGAGAGAGAAGATGGGGGAAGGGGGAGAGAAAGAGATAGGGAAGAGAATCGGTGGGCGAGGGGATGAAGAGAATGCATGCTGTGCGGGGGTGAGCTGCCCCGGGGCCTAGCTGGAGCCCGCTGGAGCCCCACCGCCTCGCCCCGCCCCGCCGCGCACTGGACTGGGACACACACTCCACGGTACAGTCACACCACGCAAGCACGTCCGAACAAAAGGGGAAAGGGAGAATGAAAAGTAGAAGGTAATTCCCTTGTGTGTCTGCGTGCCTGGCTGGCTGGCGGCGGTCCGTGGGGAGATGGGATGGGAGGGGGGACCGCACACGGTTGGTGGTTAGAGAGAGAGAGAGAGAGAGAGGGAGCGCGAGAGAAAGAGAAGGGGGGGGGGAGGGACTAGCGAGGCCAAAGACTAAGGCAGAGGGAGGGCGACAGTGTCATTATTTTCAAGCTTGAGCTGCATATCGACTCCGGCTGCAGTCAGTGGTCCGTGTCGCGGGCCGGGCGGCCCGGGCGCCAGACCAGAGCGGAAGGCCTGCAGGCGGCTGCACTCGAGCTGCTTGGCACACCATCTGCCGCAAGCGCCCCATGCACTCCGCGTAACTGGGTGGGCTGGCGATCGCATCGCCCACAGCTACGGCACAGCCACTAGCAGCACAGCCGCACAGCACAGCCACAAATACGATGCGCTTCCCCCATCCTCCAGCACATCAACGTCTTGGGCGTACACCTGTCTTCGGCGGCCGTGAGTGTCTCTCTCGAGGGTGCCGCTCCCATCGCCACCACCACGCCACCAACCCGCCTGCCACCCGCGCGTGTTCGAATGCGTCCTGTCAGTAAGTCCGCTACGTGCTGACGGTGTTGGCCGTACCTGGGTGGTGGGATCCGGGTGCGGGTGGTGGTCGGCGCCCAGAAGGTCGGGTGGGCCCCGGGTGGGTGGTGGGCCAGTGGACCTCAGTTCCGGGTGGTGGGGCCCCAGGTTGTATGGGCCTCTCCCCTGCCATGGTTGGTGAGCCCTCGGGTGGTGCACCTTAGTCCCGGATGGTGGTCCCCGGCCTCGGTTGGTGGACGTTAGTCGAGGGTGGTGGTCCCGGCCATGCTTATGGTTGGTGGGCCCCGACTGGTGGGCCGTCCCCTCCGGTGCCCCCGAAGCCACCCGGAGGGCCCGCTGGGCACTGGCACCAGGCACCCCACTGGGACTATGAATACATCACCTGGGGGACGCCGCACCAGAGCCCCACCCGTGTCGTCGGAATGCACTACAGGCAAATACCCGGGGTGCAGCGTCGCGCTCACTGCACCCACCCCCGCCCCAGTCTCGTTCTCTCTCTCTCTCTCTCTCGCTCTCTCCTTCTCTCTCTCTCTCACACACGTCGCACCTGCCCGGGGCGTCATCAGCGTGACTCCTTTCCAGTCTCCCGCTCTTTCACCCCGCGCCCGCGCCTCACTCTCGCTCTCGCCTTGTTTCTCTCTTTTTCGTCGCTCTTTCCGGCGCGCTCCGCTGCGTCACTCAGGATTTCCCTCCCTGCACGAGATTCGAATTTCAAGAGGCGCTCCTCACACAGACAGACGCGCCCCCCCCCCTTTCCCCTCTACCCCTTTCTCTCCCTCCAGCAGTCGGCTAGAGCCACCCGAAATATCTGCGCGACATGGACAAGAAAACGCAACGATAATCCGCAGAGATTTCCCGTCACGCGACCCCAGTCACTTTCAGTCACTTCCAGTTTGGAACTGCAGGGTTCTACTTCGCATCACACTTTGACGCACCGCCTCCTCCATTGCCCTGTTCTCAATTATTATGCTCACCCTTCCAGAGCTGACCCCGAACCTTCCACTGGATCTCGGGCGTGGGGTCGCCCGTCACTTCGCACTTGATGACGTAGGGAAGCCCTTCGGTGGCCACCTGTTCCGTCGGCGTGTCCAGAAACTCGATGGGCTCTGAGCATAAAAAAACGATGGGCACATATATTAGTCCGGAACGAATACGGGGATTATTTCTCCTCCGCCATATACACGGCAAAAAATAATGTTGTTAAAAACAGGGAGTTTGTTTTCCCAGTAAACGCTTTACGAAAAACAACTTGTTTATTACCAACATTATTTTTGCAGTGTTTCATCAGTTGTTTATTTTTAAAATTCTCACGTAAAACGAAAAGACCTTTACCTTTAACGGTGAGCTCGAAGCACTTCTCGCTAGCACGCTTGACATCCGACAGGCGGCAGCAGTACTCGCCGCGGTCCTTCTTGCCGATGTTGCTGATGACGATCTGCAGCCCGTTGCCGGAGCCTCGCCACACGGCGTCCTGCACCGGCGACCTGCGGCAACACAAACCCATACGCATGCGGTCAGTCCCTATACTACTCGGCTGCTTCCCAACTCCAGTCAAACGACCGCAAGAAAGTAGAGAGGCCAAAGTTCACATCAAAGATGGACAAACACTAAGGATCTAAACCGGTAATTCAACTTTGTATGCACTTGAGTTGAAGGAGATGCTCCCCCAACCAACCCCACTAACGCAGAGAGGGAGGGAGGGAGAAATACAGATCGAGGGAAGGAGGTAGAGGGGACTGCCGTCGGCTTTTCGAACCAGGATGATGGAGAGCGGTGAGAGCGGCGGGCTGCTGCACGGGATTGAATTACGGGCCCCCAGCAGGTGAGGCGAGTACACGAAAGGGTACCGCCGGGGGTACGACCGGGGTGTACCGCCGGGGGTGCTGCCGCAGAGGCTGCGGGAGCGAGGAGGGGTAAGGGGGGATGCATGCCTGCCAGTCGCAGGTCGGACTCTGCTGCACAAGGGAAGGCGGGAGAGAAGCGGGAGACGGGTAGGAGAAAAGGGGGGGGGAGTCGTAGCAGAACGGAGAGGAAGTGATTTGATGATAAACGATGTAGCGCCACTCTTCGTGGCAATCAGAGCGGGAGAGAGTCGAGCCCTGCTGCCCTGCTGCCCTATTGAGAGGGATAGATAGATAGATAGATAGATAGATAGATAGATAGATAGATAGATAGATAGATAGATAGATAGATAGATAGACTGTTATTTTGAAGGTGCAGCCAACAACAAAGGTGGACGTCCAAAGGGACGACTTGAGTTTTGCGCCTTTTTTTCGGCAGCATTTGTCGTCTGTACCGCTGCACTGGCAGGCTGTAGTCTCGAGGCCGTGGAGCGCCCGACGGGTGTGCTCGCCCGTGGCGCAGCAGCGTGCAGCGGGCCTGCCTACCTCGCGCTTGACAGGCGCGCTGCCCGCAGCGGAGAAGGGGGATGAGGGAGGCTAGAGAGGAGGGCGAGGGGAGGGAGGACAGGAAGGGAAAGGGGTCCTTCGCATTCTCGGACCTCGGGCAGGGAGTGGGCGGGGAGTGTCCCGTGTCCCCACCCTTCCCCTCCACCGCGCTTCGAATTCTAACCGTCGCACCCTATTGCAAGAGTTGAGCGTTGATTTGAACGCGACCGGGGGCCCTGGCGGGAGGTGGGGGGCGGAGTCAGAG